TATTGTTATGTGTGCTTTAATCAATAAAATTGTTTCCTACAACTAGAGAATGATTTTTAATTTCCTTGTTAAATGAGAAGCTTAGGTATAAAAGTTCAATTTTTTTAAATTTGGCCATTTTTTAAAACCCGTCCCTTGTTCAAAATGATTAAGGCTAGGCTTGCAAGCCATCCTCTTGACAAAAATTAATATTTTTAAAATAAAGTTTAACATCATAACATAATAAATTAATTAAAATCTTCTAAAAATTAAAATAACTAAGACCAATCTAGATCTTCAATTATATTATAATCATGAGTAAAGTTGTTACTTGCTAATTACTCGAGGCATACATGTATAAATCATATATAGATAAAATGAGAGGAGAGAACTAATTCCAAAATCATAAAGACTATCCTGTATATGATAAATATTCCCTCCGTTTAAAATGTAAGGCATTTTTAATCGAATCTTACCCCCAATAAAATAGTTACTTACTTTTAAAGTAACCCTATCTTTTTATATTCATCCTTATTAAATACCCTGCAATAAATATAAAGTCATTTATCAATAGCGGCACTTAAAAAAAAGACAATGATTACACATAAAAAAACTAAAAATGCCTTACATATTTAAATATCCAACTTCTCAAAAAATACCTTATATTTTTTAATAGAGGGAGTAATAATTTTCCATCATACAACCCATTAGCAAAATTGATAGTTGAAGGAATCAAATATTCCACACCTAAACCTACTGAACAAATCAAATAATTAAACCAACAATTATTTCACAGTGTCACACTATCACAAAAACATTTTAAATAACAAATTACATTGAGGAAACAAAAGGGAGATAGAGTTCATGGCCACAAACATTAATTCAATTCATAAACTAACTTAGTAAATGAATTACAATACATTCATGTTTCTTCATTTTTTTTAATGTATTATTTTTTAAAAAAATTAATAAGGGTCTAGAAGGCCGCTCGAGCTTGAGACCATGTTTGCAAGGTTGAATAGGGCAAGACTTATAAGCCCAATTACACTAAAGTTTTTTATTTTTTAAATCTAACCATTCTAAAAATGAGTTTAAATGAGTAACTTGTTAAGCTCAGCCTATATTCTTAAATTTACTTGTTACATAAAATTTATTGAATAAATCTCTTGTTTGAGACCCTTTTGTTTAAATAAATAGAAATGGCAAAGCCTTAATGAAAACCTACATGGTTTAAAAAATGTCTACAAGCATGAGAAGACTCTATCAAAACTATAGCATATGTGTTTATGTTTTAAGAGAAGTGAGCAAAGAAGTTAGCATTGGCACTAGTTTTTATGCAAATGCTGAAAAGAAACCTCACAATCCCACATTAAAAGTTTCCTGATTTCTTGAAAATGTCGTAACTCCGATGGTTGATATCATGAATAATCAAGATGATGTTAGTGGGTGGTGAATAGGCAGAATCACCCCTTGACGTTAAATAGTAGCAATGAAAAAGCATTAAAAACAAGTGGCAGGTAGGCTCATGTTATTTGACACTGCATATGGAATGGAGAAGTGAAGTTTTTTAAGGAGATAAGTTTTTTTTATTTTGGGATGGAGAATTGGAAGTTTTTTAGGGAGGTAAGTGAATTTTTAAGGTGATGTCCTTGGGGAAAAAAAATTCAAGGACATCATCTGTATTTTTTCTCTTGTGAAAGCGATTGCTCCCATTGTCATGTACACTGCGCATTGGTCCATTCATTCGCGATCTGTATTATTAATGAATTGGGACAATATATCTTATTTATCATGTTTTTGTAATTTTTAACAAATATTTCTAATCACATAAACACAATATATATCCCTTGAAGTATGATGACATGAGATGGAAGATATAAAATCGAGGGAGAGGAGCTTGGAGAGGAAGAAATATTGAAGAGTGGGCCAGAGAGAATAGCGTGTGAAAGCCATAATAAAAAATAAGGGAAATTGTTGTTTATGTTGCAGCAGCATCATTCAAATAATCAAATTCCACTGTTAAATAACCACGAAATGTATTTTAAAAAAATACATATATGTAAGAGTATATTGAGAAATAAAGAAGAAAAAAAGTCATTATACTTTTAATTTAATTGTAACATATTCCCTCTGTCTTTACATATAGGGTATTTTTAAAAATTTTATTTTGTCCCTAAACATAAAGAGTGGCAATGATTTTTTTAATAATTAGACAATTTTATCCGTTTTTTAAAAAATAAAACAGATCATTAATTGTATATTTTTTCTACCACTATCATGATATTAATTATGATATTATTAGGAGTAAAATTAAAAAATTATTATGTTTTTATATGAGTTTAACTAAATAATAAATCTTTATTGGTATGCAAGATTCAGTTAAAAATACTTATATATAAGGATGGAGGAAGTAGTTTCTAAACTTTATTTTAAATAACTTAGTCTCTATAATTTGACTCAATTATAATTTATTCCTTAAACTTTAACTTGATGTTTTGGCCAAAAAAAAAACTTTAACTTAATGCAATTTAATGCTTATAATTTTAGCCATTTAAAAACATTAGTCTTTAAGTTTTAATAATAATTTCATTCTTTACAATTTTATTTTTTAAAATATCATAACCAATATGTTAAATAGATAAAAAATATAAGAACTAGATGACTAATTTTTTTTTGATAAAAAGTAGTATAATATATAAATAGAAATTATAGTCCCCTCATAATATGAAGAATTAAAATTTGCATTCTTATTAAAAAAAAGTACTTATATTTAATGTTTGATCATATTTTAAATAAAATAATTTATTTTAAATAGGATAAAATTAGTATAATTATTTTATTTTATTTTATTTTATTTTTGGACCAAGTATAATGATTTTGTTGAGATAACATGCTTAGTGAAAAAGAAAATAAATAACATACTAACATTAGCAACAGGTCGGAGAATACGATCCAAGAATATATTGTCATCAGCGTGACGACACGTAGACGCAATGGGAATGGGCGAATGGCTCCAAAAAGCAAGAGACAAACCCATCCCCCCAATAAAGTTTCCGCGTCGACAGTTGGATGGGATTGCCATTCCACTCTATTTTCCTTGAAATTATTCTATCCTCAAAAAAAAAAAAAAAACAATTCATCAATCCACCTTCAATATTTTTATTTTTATTTTATTTTATTTTTTCTGACCTCCAAACAAGTTGTATATATACACATACTAAACTTTAATCTCACATACAAGTATATTATATAATTTCCACAAAATTTGTAGTATTTATAAGTAATGAATACTACAACTAACTAATTCTATATGAAACAAAATACTCATGTTCTTTACACCAAAAGAAAAATATTTGGTTCTCTAATTCTGAGTTTCAGTGATTTATTTAAAACTAGTGTGAGTCTTGTGCACCATGCATACAATGCTTATTATATTTTTTTTTTTGGTGAGAAATCAGTGGTTTATAGATTTTTGGTGTAGGCTGATTTAACATATGCTTTGCCTTGGGCTGCATAATTTAATTTGTTTGTTTATGTATTATTTTTAAAATATATATTTCATTATTGGGCCCATGTTTATTAATTAGATTGTAATAAGATAATAACCAACATTTAGAAAACACCCATGCAAAAGTCAACGGTCTTGAACACGCATATACCATGCAGGGTTAAGCATACAGTTTGAGAAATAAATTTAATAAGCCATATTAGCAAGAAATATATATATATATATAATGCTAATTTTTATCTAACTAAACAACAATTAAGTAAATTTGTCTCAAGAATGAATAATAATAAACGAAAGTGATGGGGGCTTTTGAAATTAATAGTTTTAGAAAGAAAAAAAGGTTGAATTTTCTTGAAAACGATAGGGGATGAAATGGGATAATGGTAAATTGGCAATAGAGAAATTGCCCTTAAATTTGACACTTCAGCCCCAAAAAAAAAAAAAATCAGATCTCTCTATTCACAGTCTCTCACCATCCTTCATGCATCCCTCCCTAATCAATCATATCACTCTCTCCTCCCCATTGCTCCTTATTTGTGCATTTTAAATCTCTATTTCCGGAAAGTCGCTCATACTTTTTAATAAATTGTACTATTGTCAGGATTCACCCAAGACTTGTAGAAAAAAAAATATTAAAAGCTTGTACATATTTGCGCATATATTCAAAATCCTAAATGAGAGTAAGGGCTGATTACAATATAAACTTGTGTGTATTGCAGTGTTTGAAACAAAAAAAAAAAAAGGATTGGCCCTGATGGCAGAAACAAGGACTTAATATTTATAAAGTCTTTGATTTATATATATATAGCTTATATATGCTCAGTTGAGGGGAAATTGTTAAAATATTTAAATGTTAGTAGATTTTGAGTAGATGGGGAAAAGTCTCACATAAAATAAATTTATATTTAATACATACTTCTTCTGGTCTTATTTATGGGATAGAGAAAGAAATTTTTTTATCCTATTTATAAGTAAATTTTTATTAAATTTTTTATTTAACCTTCATTGGATGTTGGTGAGAAAAAAATACGTTGTTAAATTATATATATTTAATAGAGATAAAATTAAAAAATTATTAAATTTTTAGATAAATTTAATGAGTTTTAATATTTTTTTTAATTATAGTAAAACATGTTAAAAGTATCTTATAAATAAAATTAGAAAAATAATATACAGTAAAGTGAAAATACTCAAATTTAAGTTTTAAAATTTAAAATTAAGATGTTACGTTATAATCTTGTTTTCAAGTAGTAACTCCAACTTCCTTAAAGCATGGCTCTTAAATAACATATAATATTTTATATTATTATATAAATATATTTATAATTATATTAAACGGAATGATGTGAAGGCTTTTATTTGAAGTTAATGGTCAGAAAAAGAAAAAAGGGTGAATTTTTTTGGAAATGAGAAGGAACAATCGCTCTTGAATTCGACACCTAAGCAAAGAGAAAAGAAAAGGAAAATATTATGTTGTTTTCTTCTTACACGATCGATCCACACCTGCCGGTTCACACTTTCTCTCACCACCCTCCCTCCTTCCTTATTCATCCACATCTCTCTCTCTCTCTCCCCCTCCAACCCCAAACAGACAAAAACCCTCACAAATCCTAGCACTCTCTCGCCTGCTCGCTCGTATTCCAATCAACAAATCGCCTCCCATACTTTTCCCGATCGAATCGATCACTATTAAATGGATCAGATTCATCTTCATCATCATCTTCGTCCCCAGCACCAGCAACAGCATCATCATCTTCCTTCTCAAGTACAGCCTCTCGGTATTACCATAAACGTCGATGCGAGTAGTGGCGTCGTTGTCGATAGGTTACCTCAGTGGAGCGTCCAAGAGACGAAGGACTTTCTGGCTATTCGAGCAGAGCTGGATCAGAATTTTATGGAGACCAAGAGGAACAAGCAGTTGTGGCAGTTTATCTCTAACGCCATGAGCGAAAAGGGTTATCTTCGAAGCCCGGAGCAGTGCAAGTGCAAATGGAAAAACCTCGTCACCAGGTACAAGGTACCACGTCCTCGTCGTCTTCGTGGTTGTTGTCCCTACCTGATTCATATCTGTCCCTCTAAAATCAAATCCCAATGAAATCTCTGTTTTTATTTGCTTTTAGAAAGCTGCGATTTACATGATAGCGCTTTACAGAACAGAATCATACTGTGTCCGATATGTCTGTGAGATGTCGGCATGACGCTGTTCTCTCTCTCTCTCTCTCTAAACATGCTTGGTGCTTGAAGGAGATGTGTTTGTGAAAAGTTCTAGCTTGTGTTGCGCGTAGCGAAAAGTTCTAGCTTGTGTTGCGCGTAGCTTTAATTAGCTTTCATGGGTTTTCTTCTAGTACTAACTTGTTTGGTGCTTGGGTTACACTGATATATGTTAATTACATATGATGTAGCATTTTAAATTTCATCTAAATTCTGCACAAATACTTCGTAGTTACCATGACCCACAATGGGACACTTGAAAAAGTGAACCTAGATGCTATATATATATATATATGCTCGAAATTTATATTAAGGTGATCTAATATTTCAAATTGCAACTCATCATTGTGTAATTATAATTTTTAGTATATAGCTTGTAGTAACCATGGAATTAAGGATTTGCCAGGAAGGATTCATTGAAGTTTTGAAATCAAAACCATATATGTATTATTCTTTTGATTCTCAAGTTAGACATGACCCGTATACCAGCCATTATAACATATCCTGGTTGATCTAGTCACAGCTTTAACCTTTATTGAAAAGTTGTCGCATAGTTTAATGGCGCAAAGCAATTAAAAAATGGGTATATTTCATAATAAACATCCTAAGTAATTCAGATTCACATTAACGTTTCTTTCTGTAAGCTACTTATCGTTCATCAATATATTACACAGCTAGCTGGCCAAACTACTAATTGTATAAAATTTCTGAGCAATTTTGAAAATAGTGGTGAACTTATATATATATATATATATATAGTCACATGATTGGTTCAGATTTGAACATTGTCATCGTGTCCAATTGGGATAAATCTTTTAAAGATGTTTTTGGTATTCTTAGCTTCTTACAGACTCAAAATCGAGACCTTGCACTTAAACGGTTAATAACCACTACTAGAGCCTTTTTTCCTTAGTATTATAGTATGAATATGTGGTAGATTTGTTTGTTCCTTTTCTCTTACGTGTTGTGTTGTTTTTATGAAATGGAAGGGATGTGAAACAGCGGGGCCAGAAACTGTAAGGCAGCAATTCCCATTCTACAGCGAGCTTCAAGCGATTTTCACGGCGAGGATGCAGAGAATGGTGTGGGCGGAGGCGGCGGAAGGAGCTGGATCGTCGAAGAAGAAGACGGCGTCGGATGACGACGAAGACGACAATGAAGAGATGAGCATGGATCTGCAGGGAGAGACGAAGAGCTCCAGAAAGAAGGTGAAAAGAAGCAGAAGTAACAGCAGCGAGAGCAGCGGTAAGAGGTTGAAGGAAATACTGGAAGAGTTCATGAGGCAACAAATACAGATAGAGTCACGGTGGATGGAAGCATTTGAAGCGAGAGAGAAGGAAAGGATGATGAAGGAGATGGAGTGGAGAGAATCCATGAAAGCTTTGGAGAATGAGAGGACGGTGATGGAGCAGAGATGGAGAGAGAGAGAACAAGAGAGGAGTATAAGGGAAGAAGCTAGGGCTGAGAGAAGAGACGCGTTAATCACTGCTCTCCTTAACAAGCTCACAAGACAAGAAATGTAGTTAATTATATTTGTATTTTTGCAGAATTAAATTATTGTAGTTGTAGCTAGCTTCTAGCTTTTATGGATATTTGATCAAAATTCACTTAGTCAATAAGTGTCCTGATCCTACTAATTAAATTTTATCAACACTTAAAAATGATTAAGATACGTTTTCATTTAAAAAATTCAAATAATCATCATGCGCTGCCCCACGAAAAAAAAAATAATATTTGATATGTTTTGAGTATTATATGACAAAATTTTTAACAATCATTTAATTAAATTGAGATTCAGCAACTGTATTTCGTATAGATATTGAGTGCCTGTATCATTTAAGCTATTGAAATTCAAATTAATAATTTAGATGAATTCACTTATTTATTAATTTTAAGTGGAATATAAATTTATAATCATTAATTTAAATTTTAATGATTTAAATGATATAGTTACTCGATATCTATACTAAGTAAATTAAGTTACCAGATCCAAATTCATTATCATGTCATGTGAGATATTTATTGAGCGAGGCAGTGTTTATAGGATGATGCTCCGTGTACTTTAGAGCGAAATTGAAATTAATTAGTTATTTCCGGAACTCTTCCATTCTTCTTGAAATATCTAAGTTTCTTTATTTAGCTAATCACTTTGCTTTTTGATGTCCCTTAATTATTGTTCTAATCTTGCCTAATGCGGCAATTTTATTAGCACAAGCAAATTTAGAGATAAGCTTTCATTTTCCTCATTTTTATTTCTGTTTGGCGTCGTTAATTCATTAATTGTACTTGAGCTCGCTCCTTAATTTGTGAGGCAACATTATTTTATTATTATTAAATAATTCTCATTCTTTTCCAATTATCATTTATGTTAAATAAAAAGCATAAATGCAGTTTTTTTATATTAATCAATTAATTCACTTACTTTTAATTGCAATATAATTCAATTTTATTTGTAGGTATATAAAGCATAGACATGGGGTTATGATTTTTTGGTTGAATCAATGGTTCAAAGAAGAACTGATACAAAAGATGATATCTAACGAGCTGTAATTAAGGCTAGCTCAGCCTTTGAAAAACTAAAGTCTAAAATAGTTGAATCTGAAAAATTCAACAATACCTTAAAATTTTTATTTTCAAAGCTTAGCTCCGACCCTCAAGGCCATTACCTCTAATATTTTTTAAGGTATTTTTGATAAACACATTTATTTTTTAATTTAAAATTTTAATAAACACATTTATAATTCAAAAAAAGCTATTATACATAAAATTAAGTCTAAAAATAAATTTAATTAAATCGCCAACAAATCTATACAATTTAAACATCCAAATTCAACAATCAATTATAAGTACAAATGATATATAGCTTTAATATCATCTAGAAGAAAAAGAGAGCTTTGATATTTTGTTAAAACATGTTAACCAATAATAAAAACTGATTCATTAGCCATAGCATAGCAGTGATTGAAATACTAAAAATATTAGCATCAATCCTTAAAAGAATAGAAAATCTACGTTGATTGTTCCTCGACTAGTTCAATAATAAAAACTAATTCACCAGCCATAATAGTGATTGAAATACTAAAAAAATCAGGATCAGTCTTTAAAAGAATTGGAAATTGATATTGATTGTTTCTCCACCACTTTAATATCTAATAATTTCTAATTATATATGAGACTCAATGTTAGTTCACCCAAATAATTTTCTAGTTCAAACTTTTCCATAGAAAAATCATTTATGCTTGTATAAATATCTTCATAGGATTATAATTTGCAAAGGATTAAAGAAATATCACTTAAATACTAATAAAATAAAAAGGATTAAAAAATAATAAACTTAATTGATAAAGTATTCAAAATAATAAAAAGCAATTGTCATTGTTGATATAAAACATTTGAAGTATTAGGTGCACTTGATATTTTTTTATTTTGTATTTTTTTTACTTGAATTACAAAATATAATAAAGCCCAAAAGAGTCGGTCCTTGACTCTAAAGGGTCTATCCTTTTTAAGTTGGTAATTTATCTCCATATTCTAATTCAGCTACCCGGCCTTAGTGATAGGCTTGGCTAGTTTTGCTCCTTTGATATACAGAACACGCGTAGGCTTGCATCATTGAAGGGATCACATGGCAGGTTTTTGCCAAAATAAATAAATAAATAAATAAATAAAAACCTTTTAAAAATAGTAATATTAAATTAAAAATTTTAATATTAAAATATAATAAAAGGAGTACTTAAATTGAAAAATATCAGTATTAAAAAATTTTGATTTGACATTAATATTTTTATAAGGTCCTTATTTATCATCCTCTCAAAAAATAAATATATAATGATGTGTGTGAACCATTTTTTTTTAAATAAAGAAACACATTTGATTATGTAGTAAATATTATATATATGAAGCGTTTCAACCAAAAAAAATATATTATATGAAGTGCGTGGGTCGCATACATTATATTTTATTTTTCGGGGATCTTTTCTCACAAGATTCAAATTTGAAATCTATTTCAATAAAAAAATATACGATACAAGTGGATACACTGTGTGTGTGTGTATGATTTTTTTTTTTTTGCCAGCTTGTATATCATATGATTAAATGATAAAACATGATAACATCCTTGTGTATTTTTTTTAAATATATACAAGGAAAAAGGTTCCGTAAAAAATAAAGAATATCTAGCTCAAGATAGAGAGAGTACAAAGTAAATTTCTCTCAATTAGATTGTTACATACTTGAGTTATGATTTGATTCAAAATCACAATTATTTATTTAAACGATGAGAATTTCTATCATTGGGACCAATTATATCCACATTAACTTTAGTAGTTCGTATTAGATATAAATGTATATTTTATATTTTGATATTATTAATTATATTTTAATTAAAATAAAATATCTTTTGAAGGGATACACACATAAATGAGTTAACCTGAATATTAAATTATGTACATGCTAATATAACTTTTATATTTTTATATAATTCAGTTTTGAAAATATTAGTTAATTTATTATTAAAATATGGCTGATAATGATATTTATTTTTATAAAAAAAATGATTGAAGAAAGCGTTCTTTTGCCTTGTGGGCAATTTCTTCAGAAATGTCAGAAGTTTGAAAATTTTTCTCAATTTTTAATATTTAATTATCTGGCACTATCAAATCACAATTATGAACTTTATCATGCAACTCTTTACAGGTACAAACAAAGAGTTGCTTCTGGTAGTAGGTATATGGAATATATATGGATACACACACACGGGGAATAAATGAAAAGAGCACAATTAATTAATTAATTAAGTTAGATTATTAACACTAATCACCTAACACTTTAGAAGATAATGCTCATCATCGTCATAATGTCTATTCCATTCAGAAGCAACGTTTTGAGGTCGATGGCATTTGCTTCAATGATCACTTTACCGAAAGCGCGCATCACTTTTTATTAACACAACCAAAAAAATAATTAATATAACGTGTTCCTTAGATATGGCTTCCTGTGCTTTACATTAGTGTTTCAAAAATTGAATTCAACCTTTAAAAAAAAGGTAAATTAGTCATTCACTAAAGGTGGAATTGATCAGTCAATGAGAAATAATCTGATACCTATTAGATTCAGATTTGACATGGATTTATGAAAATCCAAGTCTGGTTCATGAGGAGTCATTTTAAAACTTTCTTTTATTACTTTATATAAGAATATTATATATTATTTACGGGTCATGGTATGGCTGTGAAATTTTATTTATACATCAAATAAGGACTTGAAGTTGTCAACAATACGATAAAGATTCTATTGGGATGATTTCATACATTTGTTCTTTAAACGACAAAATACTTTGTCGGTGAGCAAATATTAACACTGATTACTATTAATTATCGCACAGAAGTTTGCTGGGAAAAAAAAAAAAACCAAACAGAAGTAAGGACTATGTTCCAAAATATATTTAAGGGTTGTTTGGTTTTGTTCCATTTTTTTATTTTAAAATTAATTTATAAATGAATTTTTAAAATTATTCTCCAAAACAAAACAAAAATAAATATATTTCATTATATTAATTTAAAAATAATTTTATAATTAAAAAATTGACTAATAATGATAATTGCTAATGGGTAAAATAGCGACCTATATGTAGTGATTGTCCATGGTTAAAAGTAATTTACCATAGTCAAATATAGTATGCTTAAAAAAAAAACAGTTTTAAAATGTTTTTATTTTTTATTTTTAAAATAAAAAACAAGAATAATTTCAAAAATATTTAATTTAAAACATGCAAACCGTCAAATAGTTTTTTTTTAAAAAAAGGGAAATCAAACATGCCCTGATTAATTAGCTAGTAAGTTCTTTTTCCTAACTTTTATTTTGTGGCCGGTGGTGAGCAAGTTGAAAGAAGGAATTATGGAACATCATTATTGATTTATTGTATTATTAAGAATATGATTTGATATCAGGGATAATGATAGATAAATCTCTCAAATAGAAAAATAATAATTTAATCTCACGAAATGTGATAATGGTAGTGAGGTCTCAATAAAATTTTTTAAAATTAAATTTTAATGTGAACCTATTTAAAACCCCTTTGTGATTGAGAAAATTATGATTTTTTAAATCATTTTAGTCATTGATAAAGTCAAACTTATAAATACTTATAACAAACATGTAAATGATGTAAAATTAATGAAACTTTACTGATAGAAAGTTGTGATTTGTTATATTATTTTAATCATTAGTAGAACTAACTTGTAAATACTTATATCAAAATTGTGAATTACAATTAATTAGACTTTGCTGATTGAAAAAAATTGTTGGTGAAAATTTATGATTTCCTAAATCGTTTTAATTATTGGTGAAACCAAACTTGTGACTATATAAAATTATTTGCAAAAGGGTACCAAAGTTATTTCATACATAAATGTAATCTCTCGAGACTCCATTGTTACTATCATCATATTTCATATAATTAAATTGTCATTTTTATATTTTAAAAAAATTATTTGTCATTCTCCCATGACATTATATGGGCCGAAATAAATAATAGTTGATGATTTTTTGCCCTCTATTTTGCCCCATAAAGGAATGCATGATTGGGCTAAAATGATGTTAATAAATAACAGTCTTGAATGAAGCC